CCCCTTTTCCTTTTAGCCAAGGCCGGGCTTTTTGGGGCGGCGGAGGGTTTACCCGGGAGCCCAGGCCGGGAGGCCCTTTCCCCCTTTCGCAAATTCCTCCCGGGTTTTCCCGGAGCCCAGGCCCTTTAAGGCCCCCGGAAGGGGGCCGGGTGGGTCCCCTGCCCGGCGAAGGGCCCCGGCTCGGGGTTTCTTTCCCGGCCCCCGGCCGGCGGGATGAGGACCCCGGGAAGGCCCCCCGGCCGGGGTTACCCCCCGCGGCGGCCCCCGCAGCCGGCCTGGCTCAGGGGGAGGTTCCCTCCGAACCCCCAGTCCCGCGTCGGGGGCTGTCCACGTTCCCTCCGAGGGGCCCGCACTGCGCCCCGGGCAAAGTGCGCGCGGCCCAGGGAGCCCGCAGGGCCACCTCCTCCCCGGGCGGGCGGGCGCCGAGGCGGGGATGCGGGGAGCCTGCGGGAACCTGCGGGGAAGGAAGCCTGCGGATAACCGGCGGGAACCTGCGGGCGGCGGGCGCGGGACGTGGGGAGACGGGGACACGGGGACCCGCTGCCACCCGCCGCCCTCTCACCTCCGGCGCCGGCGGTCCCGGTTCCGGCCGAAGCGGTCCGACAGGCGCCCCAGGAGCGCGGCCAGCCCGGGCCGGCCAGGCAGGAGGCCCAGCAGCCGCCGCCAGAACACCGGTCCCGCCGCGGCCGCCGCCATGGAGACTCGCGGCTTCCGCTTCCGGCGCGAAAAAACTTTATTGACAGCGGCGCGCGGACACGGGGCGGCGCGCGCACGGGCAGCGGCGGGAGGAGGCCCCGCCCCCGAAGCCTTGTGGCCCCGCCCCCTCGGCCCTGTGGCCCCGCCCCCGCAGCCCTGTCTCCCCGCGGCCGGCGGCAGGTGGGCGCAGGTGGGCTGCACGCCCCGAGCCGCCGCCAGCACCCCGACTCAGAGCGATACGCGGGGACACGGCCTTCCGGACCCCACGGCCCAGTTCGGCTGAGACTCGGGCAAAACTGGGTTCCCGCTGCTCACTGCGGGCGCCGAGCACGGAAAATCCCTGCGGGAGCCGAGCCCGCGTGGGCCTTGGGGTCCCTGGGCTGCAGCCCGAAGTGTGTGCAGGGGACAAAGGCTCCTGCCGTCGCCGGCCCCGCCCGGGAGGGACGGTGTTGTGGCCGGGCGAGCTGAAGGAGCCATCCCTCCCGCCAGAAACACGTCTCAGCTGATTTTTAAAAGGAAAACGTGGCAGGATCCTGCGAGGCGGGAGGGGAGCGCGGATCCGTTCCATGGGGCTCCTGGGCGGGCCGCGCGGGCTGGACTCGGAACCTGGAGGCACTGCAGGAGATCATCATTTCCTATTTATTCCGGCGGGGAGGGGGTTGTTGTGAGGCTAAAAGGATGTGGACACCCTGGATAAAAAACTTCCCGAATTCCACTTCCACCAAACAATCCCAAGCGAGTCAATGACACGTTCCCCTCGGCGCTCATCTCGGCGTCTGTTCATGTCAAAAATCGTGGACACAGTCAACAGCGTGGGAGCTGGTTACGCAAACAACGGTACTCACGACGCTGGAAAACCACGCATCCATTTTTTAAAAAATGTTCTTGAAGATTGTTTGCTCTAGAGCAGTGGTTCTCAACCTGTGGGTCGCGACCCCTTTGGGGTCGAACGACCCTTTCACACGGGTCGCCTAAGACCATCGGAAAACACATATATAATTACATATTGTTTTTGTGATTAATCACTATGCTTTAATTATGTTCAATTTGTAACAATGAAATTGGGGGTCACCACTACATGAGGAACTGTATTAAAGGGTCGCGGCATTGGGAAGGTTGAGAACCGCTGCTCTAGAGAATGTGTATTGACATGAAGAGTAAAAATCAATTCACCAAAGAGTAGGAGAGAGCTTACCTCATTTTCTTAAAAATTGAAATAGAGAGCGTGCGTACAGACAGACTGAAGGGGAAAAAATGTTAACATTGGTTATTTGGCGCTATTCAAGCACTTCCAGATTGTTTACCATATCGAGTATTTGGTTGGTCTTGATTTCCCCATTAAGATTAGATAGCTTTACAAATACAAGACGGAATTTGATTCAGCTCTTCCCAGTCTGAAGTGGTGAATCACCGAACTTCCTAACTTCCAGTAAGCAGGATGAGACCATCCGTTCCGTGGTTCCACTTCGCACAGCGCTGGGCACGGGAGATGCACAGTTGAGTTGCCGGCTGGCTGTGCCATGAAACTCAGTGTGAGCACCTGGTGGTCCCTAACCGTCCTGAAAAGGGCTCCCTAGCTGGTTTGGCGCAGTGGCCTGCAGACCCAAGGGTCCCGGGTTCGATTCCGGTCAAGGGCACGGCACGTACTTCGGTAGCAGGCTCCTCCATGGCCCGGGCCCTGGTCAGGGCTCCTGCAGGAGGCAACCAATCGATGTGTTTCTCTCACAGGGATGTTTCTCTGTCTTTCCATCTCCCTTCCACTCTCTCTAAAAATCAATGGAAAAATATCCTCAGGTGAGGATTTAAAAAAAGGGGTGGGGGGCTGGCCCCTTCTCTTTGCTGGGTGAGGTATTGATACAAAAACCATGTGCTGACCCACTGGGAGTTTGCGAGACCTCAAATAAATCGCAGTTGCCCTCCGTGAGATGGACGGCATGGGGTTTGGGAGACCTGCATGCGGGACAGCATTCCCTGGAGTGTTAACAGCAGGCGATGGCGCAGTGCCTGTTGAGGCGCGCACACTCAGAGCCTCTGGCCTGATGGGAAACCATAGAGCTGCAACCGGAGTGAAGCATCCACCACTCTGCCCCAGAACACGCACGTGTGGCCATCGCAAACATTTTCAACGATGGTTTTCAGAGATGGAGCCATGTTTTAAATGGTTGCATTTATAAGAGGACGGCGCAACACCTCGCTCCTCCCCGCAGGTAACCCCCCGGGCCTTGGCGGGAATCAGTAGAGCAGCTA